GGCTGCCAGCTGAGTCAGCACCGCCGATATCGCCTGAGGCTGCCAGTCGGTGTGCAGTGCGAACGGTCTTGTTGGGTCGGGGCGCGCCAATACAACAGCAGATGTCAGAGCCTCCTTCAACGCCTGAAACGCCGCTTCACATTCCGGCGTCCAGATCAGCCGTTTCTCTTTCTTCAGCAGGTTCGTAAGGGGCTTCGCTATACCGGCGAACCCCTTGATGAAGCGTCGGTAATAGGATGTCAGCCCTAGAAAAGCCCGAACCTGGGTGAGTGTGACCGGCGCCGGGGCTTCTTGAACTGCTGCCACCTTCCTCAGATCCGGTTTTTGTCCATCGACCGTGACGATGTACCCCAAGAATGCGATCTCCGACAAGAAGAACTCGCTTTTCTCCAAGGCCACTTTGAACCCCGCATCCTTCAGTGCATGCAAAACCTACTCAATATGCTCCACGTGGTACTCGTGTGTTTTTGAAAAGACCAAAATATCATCCATGTACACAATCACGCAGAAATTGATCAGGGGCTGGGTCAGTCGGGTTTTGTTAATGAACTCAGCGAACGCCATATTCATGGCCCGCTGAAACGTTGCAGGGGCGTTACAAATTCCCATGGGACACCGGACCCATTGCCACGTGCCCTCAAATAGGATAAAAGCAGTTTTGGGTCGGTCCTCCGGTCGGACTGCGACGTGGTGAAAACCGTGTCGGATATCGAACTTGGAAAAGACTCGAGCGGCCCCGATAGCATCTAACAAATCATCGATTCGCGGCAAGGGATACACATCTTCGGTAGTGATGGCGTTCAATTTCCGGTAGTCGATACATACCCGGACCGAACCATTTCGTTTTGGCACGAGGACCACGGGAAAAGACCACGGTCCTTCGACCCACCCCAACCGCTCGAATTCTCGTACCCCTTCCAAAGCCAGTTGTCTTTCTTTAAGGGAATATCGGTACGGTCGGCAATGTATCGGAACGTGATCCCCGGTATCAATCGCATGCTGTATCAAAGGGGTTAGCCCTATGTCGTGGTCCTGAATACTGACGGCCTCAGGATAGGCCCGTATAACCGCCAGGAGGAGGCGTCTGTATTCATCCGGAACACGGGCTGGTACTTGAACTTCTACGGTTCCCCCAGGAATGGAGACCATCGTCGTAACCATAGGGACCGTCGTGTTGGCATTGGACGAGGCCCCAAACAAAGAGTTGTCGGTTTTCGCCGAAAGGACAGTCGCAATAAGTTGACTATCTGTCGGGCTCATCGGCTCGCTTTCCATGTCACTGTCACTATCCAGTTCGAGTTCGGTCGAGGGTTCTACCTAAAAGGCCTGCGTCAGTTCCCTCGGTCCCCACCGATATTCCCTGGTTCGGGGTTGGAACGACACCCCCTCTTTCAAAAGTATCGCGGCTTTTTCATTCGTGAGTAGGGGCCGTGGAGGTCGAAAAGATAAATCGCACAGCCCCCTTAGCTCGGTAAATCTTTCAAGTAGGGGGTCCGTCTTGAGATATAAGGACGCAGGGGGTTCCGAAAGGTCTGCTATTCGGGACACCCTCAGCAGGGGTTCCCCCTGCACCACGGAGGAGAACGCGTGCGACCGGTTGGACTCGCTCCGAACTATTTCCAGTGGTTCTCGCCGCCACGAATGGCGCCATTGATCCTGAACTCGAATCGGATATCGGTCGGGTACATCAGCCTCATCAGTTTCCGTCGATGGTTCATTTTCGTCTGGTGACAGGCGTCGGATCATGTTGATTTGATGGGCTTTCGTGGTGAGTCGAGGCGCCGGCTGGGTGCGCATGCGCACCGCCAATCTCATTGGTATCGTTTGAGGTTTGGGGTGGGCCGATATGAGCACCACCTTACAGCTGTCAAAGTGCATTCGCGCTCCGACCGCCGCCTGCCATGGAATGCCTAGCAGAACATCATACGCGTGCACATCCAGCACGATTACGTCGCATAAACAATGCACCCGCCCCACCCGTATAGGTACAATTAATACTATCTTCCATAGCGGATATATATACAGTTCATCCGGTCGGAGGGGCTGAATCTGTCCTTCCCTTCCTAACTGTTTCGTCAATCTCCAAGAAATGGCGACCGCTGACGATCCCGAGTCCAGGATGGCGGCCGAGGGATTTCCCCAGACCTCGCAGTCACACTCAACGCTTTTCCAGGTTATAGGATAGGCTCGGAGGAATACCTCGGGTTTTTCCGAGGCAGATTCTACGGTCTGGATCATTCCTATCCGGTCGGCTTCGTGCACCTTCGAGGTCGAGGGCTGCGACTCCTCGTTTGTGGGCAGGTCCCGTAGGACCGACTTTTTRCCCTTTCGACTTTCCTCGAATCGGCGCCCGTTTTTGAGGCATCGTTCGATCAACTTTTCGTTAGCCGCTTCGGAAATGGTTAGCAGATAKGGAATAGGGACGGGGATCCGAAGATCCAGAGCCTTCAAGGCATCCAATACRTCGATATGGCCATCCTTGTATTCAGGACCAGGTGCCGCAAGGTCTTCGAACCCTGGTCGCCACGGCCCGAGGTCGCTTTCCTCGGTAATCCGTTGGACGTAACGTATCACTCCGATGGTCCAGGGTTCGAACATCGCCGCAGCCATGTATTCATCGGGCCCTATCTCGGTGGCCGCAAGGGTCACCATCTCCGTTGCCCCGGTATCCATCACCGTGTCCACCTTCCCCTGTCCTGCAGTGGTTGGAGCAGCCAACGGGATTTGGGAAGGCCCAGTGGGGCCCCCCTGAGTTCGAGGTTTCGGACAATCTTTCGCAAGGTGACATGGCTGATTACAGTTATAACAGCGTAGGGGCGGGACAGCCCCGGCCACGGCCAGTTTTATCATAGGGGCCCCGGCGGCCATAGCCGCTTGTTGCCGTTGTGCGGCGGCTAGGCGTTGCCGCTGCAGGCCCTGAACAAACTCCGTCAGCGGGGCCACTACCGTAACTAATTGGGCCGCGACCTCTTTTATGGACACTTCTCCCTCACCCCAGCCTCCTTGTGCTTGACTAGAGCGATGGGAGGTCGAAGCCGAGGAAGAAGCTTTCCGATCCGAGTCTTTTTTTGTCGGACCCAACCCGAAGCGATCTTCGAACATTCGTGTCATAGCAGAGTAGCTATTGCGTCGAACACCCGAAGGGTCGTCGTCGTCGGATTCCGAGTCCATGCCTACATCGTAATTTTCTTTCCCGTACTTAATTGCGTACTGAATTAGCTCCGTCGGGGTATGTTCTATAGGGTTGCATTTCTTGCGGATCTTATTCCGCAAGCGAGAATCTGACAATCCTCTTACGAAATCAGTCCGTACCATTTTCTCGTCCACCCCGGAGCGTTCGGCTAAGTACGTAAAACGTTCAGCATATCTAGCCAAGGTCTCCCGAGGCTGCTGCGTGTATTCCTTTATTAAACGGAGGCATTGACCTGGTGCGATGTGATCAAATCTATCAAGAAATTTCCTCTAGAAGGCTGCCCAATTGGTGAAGTGGTTATGTCCACACCACTCAAAAGCGGTTCCGGCTAACCTTCTGGGAATTCGTTCTCGGAGCAACTGGTCCGACCAGCCCTGGGTCTTCAAAGCAGCTAGCCAGGTGCAAGGGTCGGTGTCTTCTTCGGAGAAAATGGGAACTTCGAAAGGAGGAGGTACAAAGTACAGGGGATGATTGGCCATCCCCGCGTGGTTGTCGTCGTCGTTTTCACCCCCAATTCTGGGTTCCACCATCGCGGGAGGCGGGTTTCGAGCCCGTCCTCTCGCTCGGTTTTGATTGCTATTCGCGGGCCTCTGTCGACGGGGAGCCAGCCTACTCAAAAATGTGAAAAATCTAATGAAAAGATCAAAAAGAAAAACTTTAAAATAGGGTAATCGTCCTAGGAAAACCTCGGAGCCGAAACGAATCAGCTCTGATACCAATCTCACGCCCCCTCGCGGCTTCCCGTACGGGGTCGCCGATCAAAGTTCTAGGAGGGGCGTGGCCGAGGATTTTTGGCCGTAAGGGTTGAGTCCCCTGGACGGAACGGGAGGCCCTCGTTTCGTGCCAGAGGTTTTTCCCGGAGTCGAACTGTCGTCGCGGAGTCCCGTGGGGGTCGGATCACTTCAAAACGATAAAATCAAAAAGGTTTCCGTGAAAATGAATTGTCCTCATGCATCGGGACGGAAAAGGGCATCAAGGGGAGAGGGCCATAGCGGCGGAAGACAAAACTTCAGTCGTCAGGGGTTTGGGGGATAGGTGGTGGGTTCGAAGCCTTCAGGCCTCATCATCGGTCTCACAAAATGGCCGAACCCTTGGGTCTTTGCCGTGGAGGTGGTTGGTTCGAGGCCTTCAAGCCTCGGCGTCGGACTCATAGAGTCCGCGCGAAAATTTTCGGGAGGGTAAGGCGGCGGGAGGGCTCGCCGGCATCTAAATTCGAAATTGCGCGGGCAGCGCCCCCCCACTACGGGAAAGCTCGGGAAAACGTGTCGCTCCCTCGTAACCCAGGATCAGCCGGCGCCAAGAACACGAGTCCCCCTGGCGACACCAGCGACAATCAAACTGCGGCCGCGACGCGGTGTGAGCGGCCGACCAGGGCAACACCGTCAAACCCGTATAAGGCAGGATTAGAGTCGGGGAATCAAAACGATCAATCAAAACAAACCCGTTCCCCCTTATCTCACAAGCCCGAGGGGGGTCTTGCCAATACACTTGCTCCGTCYGCCTCAGCGCGCGCCGTACGTCCGCATCGCAATAGATGCTGTCGTCATCTGCGATGGGGAAGGTCGACAACGAGATGAGACGATTGGAGGTACGTGATGAACACGGGCAAGGACCCGCGTTCCCGGTCATCCGAACCAACACCGAATCCATACAACAATCGTCGCAACTCTTCTCTCTCTAAGGTAGGTACGACGAAGTCTAAGCTCTCTCCCCGTGCAGGGGCGTCGACCGTCCGCGCGGACGCAAGCGGTTGACGTCACCGGTACGGGGGCGAGAAGCTCAAAAGGCGATGACTAGCAGTTCAAAAAGGAAAGCAATCGAGAGAGAGAGAGAGAGAGGGAGAGAGAGTGAGTTATGTCGAGACCGCGCGCGAGCGCAGGAAAGACCACAGAGGGGAGGGGAACAACCGGATCAACACACTCGTACTCCTAAGCAGACATCCCCCAGTTCAGTTTCCCCATCCCCGCCCGGACGAGTACGTACACACATACATGCATGCAATCAACAAACTTTGACAGGACATCTAATCATCCATGGACCTTCGACATCACTCGTGCGCACCACCAGCTCCCATCACTCGGGGCTTCACACACACGACATGCATAGACGAAGCAGCAATGGAGATAAAAGCGAGTCCTTCTTGTACACAAAAATTTCAATTAACTGCCGCCTCCAGGCGCAGCCTTTAAAACTCCCCAAGACCACCGACCACCATAGCCACAAGGCCCTGCCGCGGCCGGCATCCAATCCCCACCACTGCTCAATCCCTCCGACTGCTTCGCCCCAAGACTACCGCGGGTCCACCCCACGTCGTCACTCCGCCCGTCCTTGGGCTCGTCGAGCCTGTTCGGCGCCGCGGACTCTCGCGCATAGCTCGCGCAGCATTGCAGCCGAGATCAAAGAGAGAGAGAGGAGAGGGTTGTGCGAATTTATAGCACAAGAGGCGGCGGGTTGTCAGCGCGAGGTGCGGGCAGCGCAGGTTGTAGATGAGCAGGACAGGAGGAAGGTGGGGAGTTAGGGGGCTCGACCCGCGGGATGGCATGGTCCTACGTGATTGGGGTGTCCGTTCAAGTGGCGCGCGGTTTCCCGCTCTCCACATTGATCCGAGCATCCCAACTACGCGGCCAATCACTTCACGGGGTAATGATCGAACTGGGCGGAGGGGAAGACGAAGAGTCCGGCATGGGGAAAATGTGCGCAGCAAGAAGGGAAGATGGTGCGAGGATGCAAAGCGAGAAACGGGGATACGAGACGCGCGAAGAAATCGGAGCTTGGGCGCGTTCGCGCAAAAATTCAAAAAGTCCCAACCGCACCCGTTTCTTGGTTTTCATACCGCGGCCGCTATTCGCCCGCAGGAGTTATTAACCAAACAAAATGAAAAGCCGTTTCAAAAAGAAAACAAAAGCAAAAAGAAAGAAAACCCCTTTCTATCTGCGTCCGTACTTCGGGGCTTCCACGGGATTTTTCCTCAGGGATACGGCAAGCCGCGCGGTACGGATCTGAGCTTATCACACGCTGCCCTGTAACCTAGCTAGATTGGGTTGTGAGACCGGGTAGAGGCTAGGTTGGTATTCAGTATTGACTCAGTAGAGCCTGGCTGGTTAGTATGAATATCTGAGATTGGGGTTAGGGTAGTATGTGAGATCTGAGTAGATAATCATTCTGAGTAGTCAGCATCAATAGCTTATTATCTCAATCATCCTGAACATTCCTGAATCATCCCAAATTTTCATTAATCATCAATGTATTCCAATTATAAGGGACGCTGGGCCCGGTTCCCAGCACGTGCTGCTCCCGACGAATAGATTGGAGCAATTGATAAAAAAAAAAAAAAAAAAAAAAAAAGGG